CCCCCCCCCGTAGTTCCTATGTGCATGCATGAGTTTCTTTTCTTGAAACCCTAGGTCGGAGTTCTTACTCCATATATCTTGTACCCATAACAATGATTAACTATCATTGGTACCGCTGCCAGGAATGCTTTGGACAACACCATCCTTGACAAGCTACCCTTCAAAGCATTTCAAAACTCCATCAGCAACCTCGAAGCTCGGAACAAATATTTGTCCACCGCTGTTGCCTCCCTGGCTGCATATCAGGCAAACCTAGAACGGATGTTAAACTTTGCTCGTAGCATATCCCCAATCCCAATTTATGAATCTAAAAATTTGCAGCAACGCGAAGCGATTTAAATAATCACAACCCACCAGAAACGTCAAGAAAACATGAAGACTTTGTCCATTCGTTGGACTTCCTCGCAGTTGAAGTAGCAACTGCTAGCTGTACCAACTTTATCCATGGTTGTTCAACTGCCAACGCTGCAACCTCCCTCACTTGAAAATTTGCCAAAAACTAGCTACACCCTCTACTTTAGGGATCCATTTTGTATACCAAAGTCACCCCAATTGATCGTTGTCTTTCATGGTCCTTTCCTAGTGATACTTCTCAGCTTCAAGTTAGCCCAGAACTTCTACAAGTTTTTGATCTCCATCAAGAATACAAGGATCACACTCACTTTTTATTGGTGAAATGATCCAGCGTCATGTTCAAGATTACAAGCTTGATCTCCAAAAGGGGTGTAATGATACGATCAAAATTATCTTAGAATTATTATTAGTAGTTATTATCATGATAAATATTAAGTATTAGATATAAATATTAGTAAGATTATTATCATTATTATTATTAGATTACTATAAGTCTATTATTAGTAGTAGTAATTTCTGATTATGTTTTAGTTGTAGTCTCCTACTAGTATTCAGTTTCCTAATTTGTTCACCACTAATTATTGGTTAGTACTTATTTAGCAACTAGTTATTTGGTGAGATTCTATTATTAAAGTTTCCTCTTGTGTTTTAGAATGTACGCCTCTAGTCTATATAAGAAGGCAATTACTCTGTATTATCTGTTATGATAAATAAAGAATTAAATAGTGTATTTCTTTCTCACAGACACTTGATCTCACACTCTCTCAGTCACTCACACACACAAACACACACCCACACTCACATATACTCCCACACACTCACTCACTCATTGCGACAGGCATGTGTTATGTGTGTGCCTGCAAAAAAGAAATGTGCCCACCTTTTATTACATTTAATGACCACAATAAATGTTTCCTGCAATGAGCATAAGCATTTGATTACAATCCCTGTTACAACCTTACATTTTACAGTTTGTTGATTATGCCCAATCCAAAGTAAAGTCTTGATATTGACAGCATTGGCTTTAAGTATTTTGATTTTGACAACAGTGGCTTTAAGTATCTTGAGAAACACGTGATGCATATAATCAATGTTGGTTGATTAAAAGTTAAATTGTCGTTAAATAACATGAATACTGTGTAACCATAACATGCCTCTCTAACTCTAAGACATTAGACTACAAGTTATGGTCAAACAGGTTGAGTGTTAAAGCTAATACATAACTCATGCTTGAAGTGAAGTATGTCCACTCGTTAACATCAAATCAAGATTCTATTACCTTTAGATTTACTGGTAAACATTCCAGCAACAGCTTCAAGGCTCTCCTCGCATGTGTCTTGAAACTGCAATACTGATGCGTAGTTAAACAGTATTTATGTAAATTGCCATGACCCAAGGACCACAAGAAGACATATTCAAACAGTACATCGAACAATGAAGTTTACATAGCACATAAGAAAAAGCATATTCGTGTAAATTTTGAAAATGATGACATATGGACCTTTCATTTATGGACCCGAACACTACATATGGGCCTTTTGTTTATTCTTATGAGTTCATGTTTTTCATATCTAATACAAATGAAACAATGACTGTTTCATAAATACAAGCTAATTTGGTTATCTATCTAGCAATATTCCCTGCAATTGAAAGAATATATTTTATTCTATTAACGAAAAAACATACCACCAATCTCAAGGTGGTATCAACGAATAAGGATTCTTATTTCATCACTGCCAAAGCATGGGTGCATCTTATCCTTCCACCTTGCATGTGGAAGCATAGAGTGATGTAGCCTTAAAGGTTAAAGGCATTTCACTTAAGTATCACTTTTACAAATGATGCAATAATATTAGCATACGTAAATAACAAAATACACACACAGCTTAAAAGTTGCAACAAAGGGGGGAAAAGGAAAAATACAATGTGATGAAACTATTTTAATACTTGATATGACACAAACAAGCTTACGACAGATAAAACATCAAATATGAATCTTGTTATCATATACCTGAATGCTTGAAACAACCCTAGCAAGTGATTCCACCATACTCGCAACCACATTTGTGTTTTTGGGATTCCTAGAAAAACAACAAGAGGCAATTAAAAACATATACTAGAAATTCCCTGCAAATTTAAAGGTTTCAAATTTGTGCCAAGAAACACCCAGGCAGATAAACATACATGTCAAAATTCTGAAAAAGTATTCGCAAAGTGTGTGCCTCAACACAAAAACCCTGCATGTTTCAAAGGTTCAAATTACTAGATATTGGTTTGTACATGTGGAAGTCATTTTCATATCTGACAGTGAGCAAATTTTGGAATTACCCTCAGAATTTCAAGAACAAGAATGCGATGCCATAGTGGTAAGTCAAGAGAGATAGCCCTCACTAACATGCTGAGAAACACCTGCATCAAAGACATTTCATGCCAGCTAATGAGTGCATAGATGCACGCAAGGTTGTTAAGATCGAGATTCTAGCTAGATAGAAGAGGGGATGGAAGATTGTAAATTGAGAATCATAACTCAGATTGCACAATTCTAGAGTAATACTCCCTCCATCCAAGTTGAAATTTCTCGTTTTGACTTGGCACGGGTTTTAATGTAAAATAAAAAATATGATGAGCTTCCACTTTTTCCCTTTCCCTAAGGGCTCAGGCCTTCATTGTCTAACACTCCAACCTGTCTAGTTTATCACGTCAGATCAATTCTATCTTCTCTTCAAAGTACAAATCAAAACCAGGAATCACCCCAAGCTAAAGAAAAACAAACTAAAACTCCCAATTTCATTCCGATATATATGAATAGTCTCACCCCAAGCTTAGGTCCATGTAAAAAAACCTAAATTGGTCCCGCCATTGAAGAAGAAGAGGAAGAAATGGGAGAAAATGTTTTCTGTCGCCGTCTTGTAGCCAGCTCTTTTTTACCTTTGTTCCTTTGCCTCCGATCGGTATGAGAGATCTGAAACCACGGGTCTGACGACGATTAGAGAGGGGGGGTCAGGGGATCTTCCAAAAAAAGAGGGAAAAAAAAGGAAAAAAAGAGTGGAGGGTCACTACGAAGAAGAAGAAAAAGACATAGATTGGAGGAGAAAGAAAAGATGTTGCAAAGAAGATAAGAGAGGGGCTGAAGAAAGGGGGGAGAGGAGTCTAACGGGGTGGGGTGGAGGGCTGGCTTCAAACAATAAGAAAAAATAAAGTAAGGGTAAATTAGTCTTTTGGTGAAAATTTACTTGCCAAATAAAGAAATGGGAAGAATCAAGTGGGATTTCCCAAAAAGGAATATGAGAAGAACGCTACGGGATGGAGGAAGTAGGTAATATGTACTCCCTTTGTCCCAAAAGAGACGTGCCCAATTTGACTAGGCATATTTTTAATTAAAAAAAATTGGTGTGATTGAAAATAATGCAAAGAGAAAAGACACATACTGTGAGTCACATAATTTTTTTTAACATAGAAATATAATCATCGTTTTTGGAGTATAATGTAAACCATAGTCACATAAATCACGGTACGTTTCGGTACGGGTACGTGGTACGGGTACGAAATTCGCTAGAGGTAACGAATTCGGTACGAAGGGGGGTAGGTTCATTTCGGTACGAAGCGGTACGAAGTGGTACGGTGTACCATGTATTTGGTTCGGCGTACCAAAAGTCAAAACATAAGTAAACAAAAAGAGATAAAAATAAGTATAATATTTAATTATGAATTGAATTTTAAATTAAATATTAAATGATGAGAATGGGAAAGAGAAATATTTAATTGGGAAAGTGGAACGTGCCTGGGAAGTGGAACATACTCAATTTACGAAGACTTGGGAAAGAGAATTGAAATCGTCGAAAAGGGAATGAGGCAAACTGGGAAGAGGAAGTCGACGTTGCTTTGCTGGGAAGAGGAAGTCGCCACTGGTACGTTGTACCGCCGGCGATGGGTGCGACGTACCTAGGTATTTGGATCGCCGTACCATCGCGATTGGGATCACCGTACCATCGCGATTGGGAGTGTCGTACCATCGCGATTTGGATCGCCGTACTGGTTGCTATCGGATCGCAAGCGACTTGCGATTGGGTACGAATCGTACCAATACGGAAGTCGCGGCTCTGGGAGCGAATTCTGTGACTATGATGTAAACACACAATGGAAAATGTTGAAATCACTGTATCCTAATGCCCAGTACAGGAATTTCCACTACATCATAATTAAATTATGGGCAAATAAAAGAACTAAATTTACCGATCAAAAAGAAAAAAAAAGTTTGTGAAACAGATTAAGGCAATACACTTCCCAATCCCACCCACAAAGAGATAACCTTTTCATTTTTCAATGGGTTGTAACTGGCAATTACTCATAATTTTAAAATTCAGCAGATGATAAGCAGTGACCCCTTCCTGTAACCTAACCCACTTCACATCTTCGAAGAACAAATCGAGCATGAATCGAACGATTATACGACCCAACTCAATGATCTTATGATATTCAAATCGTTCCAGATACCCTACTGCATAAAATCATCTGATCTTACAATCTAGATTGCACTTTTAACAACCTTTGATACAAGAAGCTCTCAGAAGCAACTTAATGATTCTCAATAGTTCAACCACATAAAATGATCTGAATATAAGAAACCGAGTACATAAGGAATTAGAAGTAGCGGTGAAAGTTCCTTTCCATGATCCACGTTGTAACCCAATTACGATAAATATTAGCTGCTGGGGTATGATTGCATGTTTCCAAATAAGTAGGATCCTTTGCCTATAAGAAATTCATGTCAATTTTTTCTCCAATTAGGTTAATTGTGAACACAATTTGCCATCTATTCAGCATCTCCCATTCACGATGGTTTCTTATTTATCCCTTTTCTATCTTATCTACACCCTTCTAACCTCTTTCTACTAAAGGTGTGGTGTTGTCCATATTAGTATATCATATTTGGTACGCTATCACCATTATTCTATACTGTTTTAGTAAACCAATGAATAACCAAATCATTTTGATAAACAAAGAACGAAAGCTAACAACTTATGTTTTTAATTAATAAGATCATACCTCAGATTCAGTTATTAGCAATGAACTATAAAGTCTGATTACATGGGCAACTGATCGCAAGACCAACCTACGGAAATATGGTTCTCCAGTTTCTCCTTCAAACTGTGTGATGAAGGAAAATAATGAGGAAAGGAAACTAAGAATAATGACCAATCAAGTTTTTTTAAAAGCAGATCAATCAAGTTAAATAAACAAAAATTCAGTATGTAGGAATTTGATTTTATGATATCACACTTCAACGAGACTAACAGAAGCTTCACCTCAGAATCAGTACGAAGTGATGTCATTAGGATCGAACATATCTGGTGTCGGAGAACCTATAAGTTTCATTAGGGTGTTTAGGAATCAAAAACAGTAAAAATGCTAATAAAGGTAATATATTAATAAATTGTAGTAAAATCAGCACCTCCTCGTATGGAATCAAGGTTCGGAATAACACCACATAATTGGACAGAATAAACCTAAATAGCCATCAAGAAGGATTTAAAATACAAATAAATTGATTGCAAACATGAATTCCAGATACGAATAAGTTTGATCAAATGTGTTTCCTTGAATTTTTCATCAAAGAAGGTTCTTGATGCTACAGAATATAAACCTCAAAGCCCCTGAACACTTTTCAAACAATACCAAAAAATTACTCGTATTTTTTTTTGCAGCTTTTCATATGGACACTTAAGAAACACCAAGGAAATGTTATAAGTTATAAATATTCAATCCAACTTTAGAAGGTAGTAGTCTTCTTACTCAAGTATGTCAAGCACAAACGTTCTTTGGAGGGAGCTGACTCCTAACCAATTAGCCTGAACAATAAGCCAATCAATTATCCAGGAACCTTTCATAATGACTTAATTTCACAATTGATAACCATACCAGTTTAATGATCTCAAACTGGCAATAATGTAGAACAAAATCAAAACTTGACCAATGAAAAAAGATAAAATTTGTGTGGACACATACAGAACCACTTGCTGCAAGAGATGCCAAATCCTCAAGCAAAATAAGGCCAAGCTTTCCGGCTTTAGTTAATGTATTCCTCATTAATAACGAAGTTCCAGAAGTAAACTCTTGCTCCAATGACCTATTCAAGAGATGATCAGTTCTGATCTCTGCAGCATAATGCATTCATTATGTGCTGACTTCTAAGCACATTAATGCACTCCAATTGCCAGTTCAAAATTTTGAAATGATGATAATATTAGGATAAATTCACACTAATACTCCCATATTTGGTTGATTATACAATATTACTCCCAGATTCTCTTTGGCATGCCAATACTCCAAACAATCACCCAATTTTACATTGTTACTTCAACCCGGTTGAGTTAATTTCGAGCTTAATCACGTGCAATATTTTGGTTGACATGGCATCTAAAATTGTGACTTAATTTACAAATAGGGGCCGGTCTATTTCACGACCTATATGAAGGTGAGGATGAGAGAGGGGTATTGAGAGATATAAAATGAGGACAAAATGAGAAAACTTAATGAAGACGGTGAAAACACGTTGAGGGAGAAGATATAGTACTTCGAAGCTCTTAGATTGAGTTGCATTCACTCTGGGGTAGAACATGGACAATTTCATAGGGTTCCTTTATTAAGTTACTCAAAAAAGTCCAAATGATGTCCAATTTTCCATTACTTTAGATGTGTTCCCAAGTCATTATTTCAGACGTCATGTTAGCCAAAATGACTCCACATAATTAAGCCCGAAGCTGACTCTGCCGGGCTAGAGTAACGATGTTAAATTCGATGATTTCTCAAAGTACTGGCGTGCAAAAGAGAAAATGGGAGCATTGTTGTATAATCAGCCACGGGAGTATTGGTGTAAATTTTTTGATGATATGATACATGAGTTTCTAATGAATCATCCGTGCAGGTTGAGAAACAATAAGTAAAAGACTGAATATGTAACAAAAATATTATGTGGATGGATGATAAATACAGAACATATATCTTGTTCCACAACGAGCATTTAAAATGATCTATATTTCATAGTTTCTCATTTTCAACAACCCAGTTAAATCCCACAAGAGTAGTGTCTGGGAGGGTATGTGTACGTAGACCTTACCCCTACTCGAAAGTAGAGAGGCTGATTCCAAAACAAGACCCCCGGCTCAGCGTCAAAAGTTGCATTGATTGACCAATTGCTACTTCATTAATTAAAGAAGCGCAGACAGTTTAGAGATTCATTTTGCTTTATTCCATCACACCCTAAAGCAAAAAAATAGTGAACCTTTGGCTCCCAAATGCGTTGAAAATTTTTCAATTTCATTACTGATTAATTATTTACTACTTTTGTATCTCTAGCTGATCTATCTTTAGAGCGACTTCACTAGCGCAAAAATTACTAAATAGACACATGGATATAAAACTAAACAAAATATCAAGGTTTGGTTCTCCAAATGTGTATGCCTTACGTACTTTAGATGTGTTATATTGCGGGTAATGTCACTTGTAACCGAATTACTTCGAGACATATGAACTCCAGAAGCAAATTTAAATTTCTCAGAGGGAAGGGACTCAGCAGTAACCACCCTGTCAAATATTAGGGCAACTGCCTGTCTAAAGGTTGCTGCAGCTGTGCTGAAATTATTACAAAAAAATGGGCAACAAGAATGAAAATAAGAGTTAAAAGAAATGACAGAGTAAAAACTACTAAAACAAGTAGTGTGCGTCTACTGTGTTCTAGTGTAATACTTCAACTCACTTCCGTACACTATAAGATTTATTGCTTTCAAGAAGCCGGAGACAAATGCCAAGAGCTTGAGCAGTATTCTCCTGAATGAAACATAGAGAACACTTACACAATAGAACTTCAATGTCGAAAGATCAGTTAGTCTTTTTTACCTACCCAAAGCCAAAAGGTTTACCGTCTGCCTCATCCATTTCATTTTATAAATGCCAGTAATGTGTGTGTAGACACACTCAAATTCCCATATAGTTGAGATCTAAACGTGTAGCGACTAGCCATAAAGAAATATCATGAGAACTTCATATTGTTCCAGGTATAATATGAAAACAGGATATTGTTCCAGGTATAATATGCAAACAGGAGTATCTAGAAAGCTGTGAGCCATCAAATTCTAAGCAAAAGTTCTAATTTAGACAGAAACTTTTAAACAGGAACTTTTTGCCCACCCAATTTATTCATCATTAGCATGTGTAATACTCCCTCCATCCCAAAAAAAGCCTCCCAAGTCCCAATTGGGTTTGGCACAAAGTTTAAGAAAAAGTAAAATTGTGTGGTTGAAAGTAATGCATAAAGAGAGAAAGATGTTGGGCCACACAAAATTTGCCAAAAATGGAAAGAGGAGTCGTTTTTGGGACATCCCAAAAAGGAAATGAGGAGTCTTTTTTTATGATAGAGGGAGTATATGTTATAGAAATACACTATTAAATTATTAACTCAAGTGTTTACTATGCTTTTTAAAATGATTTGCATTTACTTTTGGGATTGGGCTTGTGTAGATGGGTTGTATCTAATATCCCAATTTATTTAATTCAGTTTTTCTATATGTTCCATATTATAAGGCTCTGTTTGGAAACCAAGAAAATAACTGACTTCTGAAAGTCCTTTTCCGAGTTATCTCTTGTTTGGTAACCTCTGGAAGATAGTCAATGGAATTTGGGGCTCTGTTCAATGGAAAATCCCGTCTAAAATCTAAAAATTGACTTCCCCTTTAGAGTTCCGGAAGTCATTTTCCTTTTTGTTACTGGCTTCTTCCTCACCATCTTTCTTCCTCTCCTCTTCTCCATCGTTCTCCAATAGATCATTCTCATCCCACTATCTGTCAGCTCTTCACTACTCTGGTCCATTGGCCACCAGTCTACTATTCACTCTGGTAGTCTCCCTTAGCCTTGAACATCTTGTAATGTATCTTCACCGGAATAGGTAGCTATCCTCTTTCTCTTCTCATTAATTGGTAAATTTTTCCAATAATTTTTAACAAAATTTTTCTGCTACTGATTCATTTCTGTTGATTTTTCAAACAAAAAAATCTGCTAGGGTTTTTGTTTGATTTTTCCTTGAATCTTGCAGCGTTTAAGCTTGAATATCTCCTTACTCTGTAAAAACTTTTGCTTAATTTTTATGCTTAAAAATATTATTATACCCCTCAATTAACTTTACTATACTCTTAAAATCAAATTAAAGTTGGCATGGATGCGTGCAAGTTAGAATTGTCTGGCAATGATTGCTGAACTCCACATTTACTGTAAAGGGGGGTGGTATTATTCTATGAATTCAGATATTTTAAACAAAGGTTTTACAGTAGATATTTTAAACAAAGGTTTTACAGTAGTATTATGTCTTACAAGTTCCAAATTTAAAGAGGAGTTTGATTGAAGTACTATATTGGGATATTAGATACAACCCAACTACACAAGCCCAATCCCAAAAGTAATTGCAAACCATTTACAAAAGTACAGTAAACACTTGAGATAATAACTTAATATTGTAGTTCTATAACATATATTACACATGCTAATGATGAACAAATTAGGTGGGCATAAACTAAATGGGTATGACTAAATCCATCCCTTAAATGGTTAAATCCACTCTTTCCACTCAAATCTTTATATCTACTCTTTCCACCCAAATTTGCTAAATCCACAATCTAGATGTAAAATATTAAATTTATAAGAGTGGGAGTCAATTAGCAAATTTGGATGAAGAGTGTGAATAAAGCCATTTTGGGAGTGGATTTAGTCTCGCCCAAATTATATTTCATAGCAACGATTTATATTGATTACAAAAAAAAGTGCTATGAATAACGATTACCTCATTATCAGGTTGTAAACAAGATTGGAACATTACAAGGATAGTTTGTAGTGTCTTGAGTTGAAGATTCTCATCAGCCATTTCACCATGCTGCTAAAACAAAATAGTTAATAAAAATGAATACAGTGTAACTGTGTAAGATTCAATATGGATAGAAGTACTAGTAAGAGCACTAAAATAATGCATAAAACGGAAAATAAACTTTGTGGGACTCTAAAGGAAAGAACTGTGTAAGCATTGATACACTCAAAAAACTGCATATGCATTGATTATTCTCTCACAAAAGTGTCTCGTGTTTGCACTATACATCCATATTCAAAAAAAAATTTAAATCACTTCGTATCAGAATTTCTACTTTTTAGATTATAATGGATAGGAATGGGAGAGAAAATCTAATTTTCTTCTGTGCCATTCCAATCAGAAGTTGGAGATAGCTTGTTTAGAAGTTATTGAAAATAGCACATTCTAATAAAAGTGCTTTTGCCAAAGCACTTTTTAATGTATCTCTCAAACTATGAATGGTTAGTGGATAGATGAATACAAAGAGTAGTGCTATTTTTTTTTGTCAAAAAAAAATTACTCATAATTTCTTAATTCTCACCTCAATATGATTCAAGCTTTTTAGAAACACTCACCTCTCAATCCCCTTAAAACAAATGCCTTGACTTTGATTTTAGATGAACGTGAAATTTAAAAATTTAATATTACCTCAACACTTGAACTTGAGATGGATAAACTAAAAAACTTGAACTGGCCTTGAACTCAATCAAATTGTATACTTGAAACAACATGAAGCTAAAACTTTAAATTATTCCGATTGAAATTGGACTTATGCTTGGTTTTAAGTGTGACAAGAATTTAAAATGATTTTGAAGCACTACTTTAACTCCAAACATGACTGCATCAACATTGAAATTGAGCCTTCATTTGAACTTGAAACTCTAAACTTCCAGACTTCAAAAAAGAATTAACTTTGACTTAAACTACGATTTATCTTTAACTTTGAGTTAAAACTTGAGACCTTTCATGGTTATGGTATATAACTAGATAAGTCATAAGTTTGTGCTACAAATGCATGTGTTTCTTAAAACTTGAGACCTTCAGTCATGGTTATGGTATATAGCTAGATAAGTCATAAGTTTATAATGTGCATGCATCATAAGAAGAGGTTGTGATTTTTATGAAGTACAAAGTGTGCTATTGCTCACCTCTTGATTTTCATTGCTGTAAGATTTGTCACCATTCCTCGATTAATCTCCTACTGCTTCGACCCCTTTAATTTTACTTTTACTCAACTTCAACCTAGCTAATTCCTTACTAGACGATATGCTCCAACACCCGTCTTTTGTGCTCAAAGTGTCTTTTGCAACATTATTGATTTCCAAGGAAAAATGTAATGGCTATGATACAATGTTGAAATTGAGAATTGGCTATACTACCCCAATTTTCAAATAAATTATACTGAAAATAACTTGGTCAAACATCGTAAAATGAAATAGGCAAATTTTTTGTAACTCATGTCCATAACTACTTTTTTCTCACACATTTTAACATCAAAAACAATAATACAATTTTTTTATTTCTTAATTTGGATGCCACTTACTCATGCTCTAAAAGTAGTGAGTAAAGGGAGCAGTAATTTTTTATTAACCTTAATTGAAAGGGAAATTGACATTAATAATCTAATGTTATCTCGATTAATAAAAATGATATCATATCGCAATTTATATACTAATGTAATAACTATAAGTTGTGTTGTGACTCCAAAAAATGAACATGGAAAAAATTGTTATTTTTGTTTCAAAAATAATAATTAAACTACTCCCTCCGTCCCCCATAGATCTTCCCAATAGCCCTTTTTCTTTGTCCACAATAGATCTTCCCATTTCATTTTTTAACAATTAAAATACCACAACTACCCCCACTTACTTTATTTATTACACCTCACCCACCTCATTTAATACACTCCATCCATTTTCATTAAGGGTATTATGGTAAACTTTCACCTTTTTTCAACTCTCCTTAAAAACCACCAAAAGTCAAAATGAGAACAACTTAGGGGGACGGAGGGAGTACTAGATTATAAAAAAGAAAAAATCACTCAAATAAATGTGTAAAAAACTCAAATCTTGATAAGAATATTTAGAGTAAGTTCCATAAAAGGTCTATCATAACTGGGGGTTTTCCATATGCAGTCCCATATTCTAAGATATAACATTTGTGGTCTTCAACTTTTCATAACTATTTCATAATCAATCCCTTGAGAACTATATATGGAAAAAATATTTGATCAAATTTGGCCTAAAGACTAATTATTGTTGTTGTTGTTGTTGTTGTTGTTATTATTATTATTATTATTCTTGTTATAAGTCCTTAGGGACATAATAATAATAATAATAATAATAATAATAATAATAATAATTGTAATTGTAATAAGAATAATATGAAAAATACACTTAATTACTTTTTTAAGTTATTATTGGATGGAACTACAAGGAGTTGGAAGAATTAAAAAAAGTTGGAAGAAAATGGAAGGAGTTAGAAAAAATTAGTAGAAGTTTAAAACTGTTGGAACCTGGAAGTTAACTTTCTCAACTTAATAAAACAAGCCCTGAATATAAAGAATACTAAAATAAAGCTAGGAATTCTTATGTATAATCTCAATTGTGCAATGATTTTCATACATTGAATTAGACGTGGTCAAAGTTCTCAATAGATACTCATGTTCTAAATGTCACAACTGTATATGCAAAATGTTTAAAACATCATGGTGTATGAATAAGAGATATGACTAAACTAACTAGGAAGGATCACTTGTGTAACAACTTTAATGGGATCACACAAAGCATACTCCATATACCATACATCTAGATATACAGTGTTTCTCATACATCGGGTGAATACTCATTCTCGAGTAACAAAATACGGTGTTTCCCATACTTCCGGCAAATACTCATTTTTGAGTAACAAATTCATTTTTCATATTTATTTATTTTAGTATTTATCCAAAATAAGTAAAAAAAATTCAAATCTTGATAAGAATATTTGGAGTAAGTTCCATAAAAGGTCTATCATAACAGTTGATTTTTCATATTTAGTCCCATATTAAGTTATTCACAACTACATATGCAAATTGTTAAAAACGTCATCTGAGAAATAATGTTCATTCCGATTATAAAGAATGTATATTTACGCTTAACACAATACTCATTTCAACTAAAATAAAGATGGATGTACAACTAAAATAAAGAAATATGTGAAATGATTATTTTATTAATCGTAAAGAAGCATTCGCCGGGAATTGTACGATAAATACTGCACAACCAGTTATGTAGTATGTGTGTGTGCATATATATGTGTGTGTGTGTGTGTGTGTGATTCATGCGTTAACAGAAATTCGTCTAATATACAAAGGAAAACCAGACTAAAATAAAGGCACCCTTACGTCTTTGAGGGTGCACAGAATCTCCTCTAAAGCTGATGGTGCAACTGCATCATGGGATATGAGCTTTTGCAGGCAAGATAGTCCAATCACACTCAACTTAACCGTCCTAACCTTACAGGCCATGAGAAAGATGTTGAGTATATCTTCATTTTGAGCAATTTCACTAGGGCTTGACAATGATCTCAGCTGAAAATTCATTACCTTAATGCTTAAAAATCACATCTTGCAAAAATTATATTTCTTCAGATTTAATAGACAAGATGGAATTGCAACAAAATAATAATGAAGGCTTAGTACATGAATTGCTTAATTATTTAAACAAAACATCTTCATTAATTATAATCTTGCATTTACAGTGCAGTTTGTTTGAGGGAATGCTTAAGGATAAGCGTAGAGATAGGAGTAACAAGATATATAACCTTCAAAATAGCATGTTCTGCGGCGTCCTTAACGTTAGGGTTCCGGCGGCGAGCCTCCGCAGAGAGAGCTCTAAGATCTGACTCCAGGACCGCCATGAGTGTCATCCCACTCCGATCAAATAAAGCTAGATTCAGTATTTGCTCACACCTGCCCTTTCAATGGCAAAAGAAATTGAAAGTAAGACGTACTCCATATTTTTCAATTTTTGGCTGGTGGTATTGTTCCGTTATCATTCTCAAACAAACATAATAATACATAATTTCTTAGTTGTACCCAAAATTGGGTACAATGAGATGTATAACATAATTTGCCTATGGTTCCCCATGTTTTGCTTTCATTTTTCTTTTTACCTTTGTTTGTGATATTACGTATTAACTTATTACTTATTATTTATAAGTAGTTTTAACTTATAAGTTATTTATAAGTTACAAACTCTTTTCTATCAATAAAATGACTTAAATGATAAATAATCATTTGAAAATATTCATAATGGGTAAAAGAAAGTTTCATAAGTAATCTCGTCAAAATGAAGAAACGAAAAAACTAGCTTAAAAATATGTAAGTAAGACCTACTTATTTGTTCTGACTTATAAGGTGCTTATAAGTCACCTTATAAACACGCAAAAACATGTCATCTACTGACTTATAAGTTTAAAACAACTTATAAGCAGTTTTGACCAGCTTATAAGCACAGAAAATGTAATACCTCGTATTAAGATGGGAATGGAAAAGATCTCAAAAGGATTGATAGCACTACTCAAACCAACAAGGTGCATCTTCTTTTTGAGAGTCCATCACCTAGAAACTTCATAGTTAAGCGTGTTAGGGTGGGGTCCGGGGTGTTACAAATGGTATCAGAGCAACCCTGCGACCGTGACGGGCCAAAAAGAGCTTAGTTCACCTAGCGGGAAAAATCTAAGGGTTTAAAAAAGGATGCAATGAGGACGTTGCATTCGTAAGTGGGGGTGAATGTAATACCAAATGTTAAGATTGGAATAGGAAAGAGCTCAAAAGGATTGATAGTACTTCTCATACCAACAAGGTGCATCTTCTTTTCGAGAGTTATTCACCTAAAACTCTAAAGTTAAGTGTGTTTGGCTTGGAGCAATTCTAGGATGGATGACCCCCTGGGAAGTTTTCTTTGGACGCGCACAAGTTTTATAGAGATGTAATTTCTCTCCTCTTCCCCTTACATTCTAATTTTTTTAATATTATTTTTTTACACCTAATTTAATTTAAATTACTCCCCTCCTTGTATAGTGGGAGTACTTTGATTTAATTTACTTAACCTAAAATTTCAATTAAACATTCCACTGAAATTAAAAGAAAAAAATAAATAAAATCAAAACATAATTGAAAATAAGAATGGAACATTAAAAATATCTAAACACCCCTCCTTGTATAGTTGCCTGCATTTCCAAGTCACATCTTTGATATCTTGCCTCTTATTATCATCAACACCGCACGCTCCATCGGACCAAAATTCTCAACATCGATGGTCATGATTATTTTGAAGTCTTCTTGTTGGTCCCTAACACTCGAGCTCAATTTTCTCCGCATTTGGTTGACATTCGAGCTCAAGCTTCTCTCCTACTGCTTGGTACTTGATCTGGAGCTTCTTCGATTGTAATTTAGTAAAAGTGGACAGTGTAGTGGTGAGATGCTCAAACCCTTTCACCACAGCCTCTAGTGTCGTTCACGAAGATACTGCTCTTTTTGCATTATCTCTCCTAATGCTTCTTCTGGCTCAATAGGTGTTTTTTGACAGTCTTTTTCTTCTTTCTTTTCCATTTATTTTTCTCTCACCCACCCCATGTTTTATTTTCTTTCTTATTCTCCTTCTTCTTAACTAGATATTCACATGATTTTTCTTCTTCCCTAGTTATCATCCTCTTCTTCCTCGTCTTCATCACCGTACCCTATTTCTTCCTGATAGTATGCTCCTCTGATCCCCCCCCCGTTTCTTGTCTTTTTCTCTTAAAGCGGCTCGAGATATGTTGTCTATGTAGTCTCCTTTGACAAAAATTTCAGATCTCGACATCGGAGAGGGCACAAAGGCATCAAAGGTTGTGGCGAAGAGGGTCGGTGGAACGGATTAATAACCCTATACTTATATATGGTTTACTCACTGTCTTCTTTTCTTCATCTTTTCAAAGATTTCTTTTTCAAATTTTTTGAAGAAGATGAAAGATTTGTATTGAGAGGAGGGGCTGAGGTTTAAGAGATTGATTTTTATTACTTGACCTTCTAGATCTAAACTTAAATTTTGATTTTTTTTTAAAATTAATTTTTTATCATTTAGATTTTATGAGATTGAAGAAGAGGTAGAAACATGGGGAAGGGTATGGTAAAGAGATGAAGAAGAAGAAAAGGAAAAGAAGAACAAAGAAATAAAGGAAAAGAACTGAAGGGGAAACACGAGAGTGGAAATGGAAGAACAAAAAAGAGACCATGAAGGGGTAGCCATGTCGTAGCACTTACAAATTAATTTAATAATTTCCTTAACTTAAATCCCCCTTAATGTATTAATATTCATAAAACATATAGATAGGGTACGTAAAGGTCAATCCCACGAGGAAAGATACTTTTAAACTCTAAAAATCAATTTACTTTTGTCTTCTTTATTGAATAAAAACAATTAAATCTAAGAGATAAGTGGGGGTTTTAAAAACAAAGTTTAAAAGGGTAAAATAAAAAACTACTCTAAGGGACACACCACATCAGATCATATTCCAAAGCAACAAACTACGGATAAAAACAGAACATAACTCCACCAAAAGCCCAAACAAAGAAGAAAAACACAAACAAGATCATGTAGCACATCATTTTAAAGACTTGAACAATTTTAGAAAAAGTAAACACCATTTTAGAAAATAAATGTCCAAGTCTAATATTTGATAAAAATAAGCATAATCATTGACCAACTGTAAATCAAAACATGGGTTAGGCTGAAGAAGAGGTCCACCAACGGTTCTTCCCTATTTTCCCATTAGTAAAAGCTCATGTTAAGACCAACCCTAACTATAAACCCTACTACCCTTAGCAACCCAAAGACCAACCCCTAGATTAGTACTAAGAATAACACATTAAAACCTTTGGAAAACATCACCATAACAACTTTGCAGTAACACAAAGGTTATTTAACAAAATCAGTTCGAGAACCTTGATTAGCAAAAACCACTTAATGAGGCAGCCTAGTACTATTCAAGTGACACTTAGTTTCTAGAAAAGTTCGGCCATTTAAAGCACTTTGGACTTTAAAAGAATATCGATTTGAAGTGGATTAGGCGTACACTCCTAATTTGACCCAATTCAAGCATAAACGAAGAACAGTTCTCAGAACACCATTGAATTAATTTTATAGTAGCAAAAGAACTTGAATTATCAGATTATTAAACTTGAAGTAAAATTCAAACCCATAGACAGATTTATTTTAAAGCAACAATGTTTGATATACCCTCAAAAATCCTGGTTTCATAAGTTATTTTTTTACAAAATCAAACCTTGAATGACATAAGAATAAAGAATACTCTCAAAAACATGCTCCTCGATTAAACAACTGACTGGTTCACCTTGCAAAGCCAACTTTGTTTTTTTTTCTTTACTTTCCTAAGGAGTGTACGTGCAGGTAGTTACTGCACAAAATGCTAAAGTGGCAACTCTAAATGTAGTAAAAACTCAAGGAACTGACAGCACAAGCACAAAGAATAATCTCAAACTATATTCCAGTAGCATACTCTTAGCAAATTCAATTAGCATTCAAAATATTGATCAAAGAGTACCCTTAGTGGGTTGAACACTAACACCAAAGGGACGGAACTCCAAGGGAATTCACGATCAAAATTACCACAGGGTTTGGCTAAAATAATGCACAACACTACCCAAATATGAAGAAATCTCAATCAAATTTCAGGAGCATATTTAAATTAAAGATAAGAATTCTTAACAAGTGAAAACCAATTCCCAATTTAGTCAACTACAACAGAGATAAACAATGGAGAAAAAAACAAATTGTAACAAGATTGAAATAAAAAGAACACAAGAAATCGAAGGAGGGTTTTCAGACCTGGGGTTATTACCCTTGATTGTAGCCCTGATTTGAATCTTGATGTGTGGTGGTGTCTTGTATCGCAGCCTCCTCGCCGTGTGGCGCTGTAATTCTTCTGGCTCCAACTGCGTTGAAGAAGCAGAATTGCAGTAGGAGAGGGAGTCCTAATTGACGCAACTTTCTCTCAATTCCTTTCTTGAGTGTATTGGTTTGTGACTGAAAGGATTTGGGTCTGATTTTGAGAAGAGGACAGCAGGCTATGCTTTGGGTCACATCCTGTCCATTTGAAGCTCCACTTTATTTCTTTAAAATTTGGAAGTTCAAGCATATCCTTTGGCGTCTCCATCCCACTGGAAGCTCCAAGAGTATATCTAATAAGCTTAGGCTCCGTTCCTTTCATTTTATTTTTTCTGGTCTCATCTGATTTTAATAAGTTCTGATCTGATCTGATCTGATTGGATCTAATCTGATCTGATCTGATTGGATCTGATCTGGTCTGATCTAATCTGATTGAACCTGATCTGATTTGGTCTGATATGATCTAATTAATTATGATTTGACTTTATAATAACGTTTGAAAATTGTGATGATAATTCATATTATAATATAATCAATATTTTTTATTTAATGATTATTTTTTAATAAAATAAAATTAGTTAATTCATATATTATAATAATCATTCATATTATAATGTAATAATATTTTTTATTTTATGATTATTTTTTTTTGAAATTAGAATATTAATTTAATATATTAATATTAATTCATATATACATTAGAATAAATATTTAATTTATATATACATTAAAAAGTATTTAAATTTAGATAATCAATATATAGAAGAGATAGTATTTTTATTAAAATATCTCATGCTTATAAGAGATCAAAATTTTAGAAACTTAAATTACAAGTATCAATAAAAATATATTTTAAAAGTAGAATTAGATTGACATTGTCAATATATTTTAAAATAATTTTTCCGACATTTAAAAATTAAGGATTACTTTCTCGGTTTTCTATTTAACATGTTTATAAAGTTTACCCTTTTTCATTTTTAAGAATAATAATGATGATGATGATAATAATAATGATAATATAATAATAATAAAAATAATAATAATAATAATAATAATAATAATAATAATAATAATAATTCTTGATGGATCTGATTTTAATAAGTTCTGATCTGATCCGATCTGATCTGATTGGATTTGATCTGATCTGATTCGATCTGATTTGATCTGGTCTGATCTGATCTGATTTTAATAAGAATAAGAAAAAATAAGTTGAACGAAATGGGGCCTTAGTCAAGGAAAATTTGGGTCCAAAAGAATAATATTCAAAAATAAACTAAAAGTGTGCATTACGAATATATTTTGTAAATAATGCCTAAGATGCAAATATGATCATTTAAGTGTAAAAATGGACTTTTTTATGCATAAAAGTACTGATTTGGTAAAGATTAAATAAAGAATATTTTGGACTCAACACCTTCCTTGAAACCCTAGCTCACTGGTTCGATGCCTAGTGAAGCAAATCGGGGCTATATGTCATATCCTATTGCAATAATGAAAAATGACATTTGGATTATGCATTCTCCTGGTTGATAATAATTTCTAGGTTTTCTATATTGGTTTATCATATTTTGAGAAAAGTTTTGTTTATGCACATTCAAGGTGTTATTTCCAAGTTCGCTAAAATGATCATTGTTCAACCTAGTGTTCTTTTTAGGTGGTCTAGTGTTCCTAATTAATTTAGGTTGTCTATTAGGACTTGTTTTATTTTTCCTAAGTTGAGCATCTTATTGTTCTATTAGGACTTGTTTTATTTTTTCTAGGTTGAGCGTCTTATTATTTTATTGTTCTATTAGGACTCATCGTAAAGTTCATTAAAAGCGTCTTGCATATCATCAAAAGTATAAGGTTCTTTAGAAGAAGTGGTACATAACTCTTCTAGTGGTTTCTTATGTGCCATGAGGCAAAGGTTAGCGCTCTCGTTTTCTTCGCCATACGAAGACTCATTGCCGGAATCTCCTCCACAAGAGATGGATGCACTGTGCTTTTTGAATGTCTTCTTTTCCTTCTCGTTCTTGGTATTTGGGCATTTTGGTTTGATATGCCGGACTTCTCCACACCCATAGCATTTGGGTGGTTCTTCTTGCTTAGCTTATTTCCTCTCTGTTCATACTCTTTATGCATGAACTTATGAAAGTTCTTAATCACGAGCTCGAACTCGTTGTCTTCGTAACTAAAGTCCTCCACGGCATGTTCTTAGCTTCTGGAAGCCTTGAGTACAATCTCCTTCTTTTTTTGTTCAACTAGAGAGGGATAAAGAATGGTAGACTTAAAGGTTTTGAGATTACCATCGATGGTAACGTTGGTGACGCCGATGAACTCTTGAACACTATCGGCCTTGGAACGCCACTCCGGTGTGAGACTCCGATCCACAGGATTATTCTCGCAAGCTCCTTGCACGTATGTGTCTTTTTAAGAGCGTGAAGATCGTTTATGAATTTTGCAAATCGTTCAAACATATCGTTGATTTTATCGTTCTCCTTCATACGAAATAATTCATATTCGTGGGTTAAAAAATCTATTTTAGCTTCTTGGACATGATCCATACCTTTATATGTGATTTCTAGCTTGTCCCACATTTTCTTGACGGTGGAACAACATGAAATCTTCTGGTAGTCATCCGGATTCACTTCACAATAGAGAATGTTGATAGTCTTGGTGTTGTTCTCTATCTTCTTGATGTCCTCTGCATCGTATTCATCTTCAGTTTTGAGAAGAGTGGTTTCCCCAACCTTCTTTGTGGGCACTTGCTCACTCTTTTTTATGATCGCCACAACAGAAAATTGGTGGATTCAATGTAGATCCTCATCCGCTCTATCCAATATATATAGTTGGTTCCATCAATAATTGTGGCCTCGTGGTGGATTGCCCTCCACATATCCCTGCATATAAGTTTTGAGTAAAAAAATTGATCGTTTTTCTCAAACGATTAAGTCTTTTAGAGAGTATGACTCCAATACCAATATTTAGAATAAAGGCTCAATGCTAGAGGGGGGTGAATATCGTTTAAAAAAATCGTAGGAATTTAAAAACGCGGTGAAGGAAAGTAAAGAGCCTAAGGAAGGAGCACACTGTATATTTATACTGGTTCACCACAACTTGTGGCTAATACAGTCTCTCAAGATACTCTTTCGAAAGTCCTACTAACTTTGTTAATCTTAAAGGTGCCCAACAAACTGATACAACTTCAGAACTCAAATCACACAAGCTTCAACAACACTTGCTCGGAGATACCGCACTTCAAGACTTCACACGAAGGAACAAAGACTTCCTTCGAACTACAATAAGGGAACAAACCTCCCTTCAAGCGTATAAAACCACTTAAGCACGTAAGAACAAGACTCTCTTATAGAGTAGATATGAGTAAACAAATGAACGCTCAAGAACACAATAATTTCTTTAAGAATTAGCTCTCAAAAAGCTATGAAATATGAAAGACATGAATGCAATGAATGAGTTTTGATAGTTGAAGAATTTTGTGTTAAATGAGAGGTTTTTGGTGCCATTTTATATGCTAAAAGGAGATGTAACCATTGCATGAACTCCCAACAGAATCATGACAAATATTTTGAAAATATAGTGTGATTGTCGATTTTCCTAACATGATAATCGATTATCAAAATATTCTTTATCCAAAAATTTAAAATCCTATTTGGTGGAAGGCAACGGTAACACTTGATAATCGATTATAAAGTTCTAACAACCGACTATCAGACTTCTCTTAAAATTTTGGGTTTGGAAGTGAAACCATAATAATCGATTACCAAAAGGTGATAATCGATTATCACTCAGCCAAGGCCTAGCTAGTGAAAACCAACTTGAAAAACCAAGGCCAAAAAACAAAGCGTTCCCAAAAGTAAAATCAACGTTGAAAAACATTGTGCATGGTATAAAATAGAGAAACCAAGACTTGTTTATCAAAAAAACCAAGTCTTCGAGGTCGTAATTCACGTGTTGACCACTTGAGCGTTTTTCACGTGCTTAGACCAATGATCACCATACACAAGTGGTTTTTATAAAAAGATTGTTTGGGAAGCTTTTAATTATGCCCAGAAGTAAAGACCAATGCCGAACGCTAAACCTTTTAAGATCATTTGGGAACCATATAAAATATTGAAAACCACTTGGTTGGTTTGAATGTCGGACACCAAACGTCAAATGTTGAACACCGAATGCCGAATGCCGTGGTTTTGGTTTGGGTGAAGACCAGGGGTTTTGGAAACTTAGAAATACTTAACAAAAACATTTATTTGATGCATATAAAAGGTTTCATGATTTTATAAAAAGTATTTCGACTCTTGAGAACCAGGACTTGATTGGATTGTCGATTTTTTCTCACAATAACCTTCTCAACTAAGTCTTCAAATCTTGATCTTGTTCTTGATTCTCTTGGTCTTGTGTCATGCCTCACTTCACGCCTTGAGTTATTCAACGGAACTCTCCATATCCACGGCGGTTTGGCAATTATCATGTTAAATATGTTAATATTATATTTAATATTATTGTATATTGGTAGCTACCATAATTGTATAGGGTGCATTAATTATATTTTTTATTGTCATTAGGAAACTCTGGTATATAAACACATGTAATCTTCCATAATATTCTATTGGAAAATATTCTTTCTACATGGTATCGGAGCCCTAATTGGCTTCTGTTTTCTCCTCTCTCTCACGATCGGAAATCCCCCCCACCCTACTGCCGATCACCTCCTTCTCTAGGCAGCCATGGCCGACGAAAATTCTTCCTCCGGCAAGGTTATTTCAACCTCCGTTACCTCTTCCTCCAACAACTCTCCCCATCTCGCCTTCACCACTATATCAAATATCAAACTTCACATTCCCGTGCAACTCAGTTTGTCGGAACCAAATTACAAAAAGTGGAGTCGCCTGTTCCGTCTCTTGATTCTCCGCTTCAATCTCAAAGGCTTTATCGACGGCACCACCATTGCCTCTTTTGCAGATGACGCCGAATGGTACCAATTTGATGCACTAATTCAAGGGTGGATCCTGTCCACCATTACGGATGAGGTTTCCGATCTCATTCTTGCCAACAATCTCTCCACTCATGCACTATGGAAGGCTATCTACAATCTCTTCCACGACAACAAGCATGCCCGGGCGATGCAATTGGAACATCGCTTCCGCACCACCATGAAGGGAAATCGATCTATCAACAAATATTGTCGTCTT